GGGATGTCCATCATATTAAATAGCAGATGAATTATTATTTGCAATCATATAAATAGAAATTCAATTTTGTAAAGGAGAGTTTCTTTAATAGAAACAAAAAAATGAGGAGAATTAAGCCTTGGAGATATGGAACTTATTTATCTATTTAATAAAAGAATATTTAAAACAAGACGCAAACAAAATAATATAACAGTGAAAATGATACAGCAGAATTACTCTGATCATATTATTTCATTACTTCTCTCTCATTCACATGCTGTTTATTATGCCTTGCATATCAATGATCTGCAAACAACAAATTGGGAATTATTGTTCCTTATTATTACTTTTACACAGCTACTGAAATTTCAACCATTTTCCATTATTTGAATCAAAATGATTTCACACACACACACACACATTCATATAGTTGTTAGGTGATGCTAATTTAACAAGATATGAGAATTGTTGTGAGCTAAGTACTATACAAATTTAATAAATTAGTATTATGGGTTTTTTTCACAATCAGTCAGACGTTTAGACTGGATGTGGCATGTTTGTCCACCTATCAAGTTCTTAAGGATAGGCAGTTGTTTGATAATGTTAAAGGTGATGTCACAGGATGTAAGCTGTTCCAAATACAGCTGCCTTTTTCAATTGACTGGTGGTGATTTTGTAAAAGGTAGCTTTACTTTGAACGGTTTACTTGCTGTGAAGAATTATTCTTGTAGGAAACTTGTTTCTCACAATTGTTTTGTTTTCATTTTAAACATCTAGACATAAAGTTAAAGGAAGTGTACATATTAGAAACTAAATTAACCTTTAATTTTCTTATCACACACACGCACATACAAACTCATGTTTTGCTTTGCTCTTCGGATTTACTTGCATGTTCTGAACATTTTAAAATGATAAGCCACATCCTGTGCCTTTATCTGAGAGCCAAATGAAGGCTCAACTCAATGTGTTTAATACATAATTCACGTTCATATACATTTGATCTTTGCATATACTACAAGGAAACAGGAAATGTGCAGTTCAAAATGTTAAAGCAGAATACATTTTATTAAGAGCTGCAGCAATAAATTAAATCCATTTGTGAACTGAGGATTTTTCCCTGTGAATTGTTCCAGACTGTTTATTTAGTAAGATGCAGGGCTTTATTGGTTTCTCAGAGGATTGTTATTAATAAAAAGTGAATTTTAATGAAAAGGTAACATTTCCACATAGCTAATCTATAAAAGATGAAATGCCCATTTTTATAGGTTTATATTAGAGTCATTTTATATTCTGTTTTATCAGAAGTAAATTAACTTAGAGACTGCGTGTGAAAGGACAGTCGTGACAAGGTTGCTGTTCTCTTCCTGTGATTAAAGCCTGCATCCTCTACTAGTGTCATAAACTTATAGAGAAGATATGTGGCACTGAATAAAATTTGGAATAGCTTTTAATAAGCTACCTGTACTCTGTTCTTTGTTTTCACAGAATCATAATCTTAAAAAGGCTATTTATATTATTATGCTCTGTAAAGTGCAGCACTCCAAATCAAGTATCCATTACAAATTACTGTCTAGTATCCACTTAAACATACATTGTGAAGGAAAACCAAAATCTCTTTGGGCAGCGTCTTTCTTTTCTCAACTGTTCTTATTTTTGGAGGAATTTTTGTTTATGTCTTAAAAATAAATCTGTTATTCTCTTATGTTGACACTCTCCATTTGTATGTTTTCAAACTCAGCCCACTCTAAACTAAGTATTCTCGGGTCTATGTTTCTCTTCATGGGATGTTATTTGTAGTTCTCTACTTTCATTTTTGACTTTATCTTATTATTTTTCTGAATAATAGCAACAGTATAACGTTTATTTGTTCTTGTATGAGCTTTCACCCATATGCATCCCATAATAAAGTACATTTATTCTTTTAGATTTCTAATCAGATTCCTTCCATTTCTCCTGTTTCTTCTGTTCCTTGTGAATAAACAGTAAATTACTACCTTTGGAATTGTCTAAATTTTGCCTATTATATAAAAGATATCTTCTTGTATTAACTCTTATTCTAGAATTTTAAATTCCATCTTGTTTATTTTTCATAGCATTAAAGTCTAGGGAACAAAGAACTTTATGAACTAAGTATCTAGGGGTGGTCATCCATGCAACTGACTCAAGAAAAACACATGGTTAATATGCAACTGTCTCTGGTCAAAGATCAGCGAACGCCATTCGCAATTTTTTCTGCACAAATTGGGGATACTATGTTCCTGCCACAATTAAGTTCTTTCTGGACAAGTTGATAGCACAGCTTCTTTACAGGACCTTGCTCAATCCAAATTTATTAGAGCAATTCTCCAGATTCTGTGTTGTGTCTCAAATATACTTCTGCATGTGGCGATAGGATTGATAAAAGTCAAAGCAAGAATATAGCTTCTTTAAATCTTTGGCTAAAGCTTAATTTCTTTCCTCAAGGCCTTGCTCCATTAATCCTCCAAGACAAATTCTCATCTTCATGAATAAAGGCCATTGAGTCCAACCTTGCCAAACTAGACTTCTCCCCAGCCTCAATACTTAAGTTGGACTACAACCAAGCAAAACAAACATTGTGACGAAGGGTCAAGGACATTGAGAGGCATGTGGACTTAGGGAATTCTCCATTGTTTCTGGCTCCAGAATGAATTAGATATGTTGTTTCTCCTGCCAGTTATTTTAGACAGTTGGAGGTGGTGAACTACCAGAAAGCATTTTCACTTGCACGGTGCTATGCACTTTCATCAGCCATCCTGCACAGCAAGTGTAAAAAGATACCATTGACTGAAAGATTCTGCTCCTGTGGCTCAGAAGAGGTGGAGACCATTGGACATATACTCCTTCAATGTTCTTTCTATAGAGAAATTCAAAAAAAATGTGTCCTCCCAATAATTGATAGGTATCCTGGCCAGTGCAGTGCAGTGCAGTGCAGGTGACTAGAATCTCCGCTGCAGCACTGGGGTTTCATGAGAAGCATGTGATTAATCCACCATAGCTATTTTACACAACTAATATAGCAAACCCTTTTGCATTATTACTCTTTTGCATTTTAGTATTTAATGACTACGGGCCTCACATTTAAGGACTGATATTATAGTATAGTTAGGCCATGTATAACTGACAGACCCAACTTGTTTAGAAGCAACTCTAGGCAGCATACAGCTTTAAAATAATAAAAGATATTTTAAAAATGATAAAAAATGGAAATTACAAAGAAAAATAAAATTATAGTTAAAAGATGGGGAGAGAGGGAGCAGGATGCAGGGTAGTGGTGGATTGCCTCTTAATTAATTCATCAACCTTCTCCAGTGTGATGCTCTTTCATTGGGACCCCAATCTGGCAGAGCTCAGTCTTTAGGCCCTTACAGAAAATCAGAGGGATGGGAGCCAATGTTACCTCAGGGGGTAATATGTTCCAAAGGGCAGATGCCATGGCAGAGAAGGCCCTTCTCCTATACCCCACCAGTCAGATTTCCTTGATTGACAGGAGCCACAGTTAGTCTTCGTCTGAGGTCCATACTTTAGATTCTTAACAAATTTCCAACTATTTTTCCTCCTTTTCTGTTCTCTTTCACAAACTAAAGTGAAGGATGGGAAACCACCAATAAAACCCCAGAGTTTACTTACCTTCTTCATGGAGATATGTTTTAGCCAGTCTTTGCAGTTTTTCCTACAGGAATTAAAAGACAGGTGTATTTGTCAGTAGATTTTATAAGTCTTGAATTATAGCCTGATCTTTGCAGTCTCAATATTCTCTGCCCTTTGGGTATTCATTGCTGTTTCTGTAATTTCTCTTTTTTTCCCTTCCCTTGAGGGCTCATAGTTTATTTTTCTGTAAGCTCCTGAAAGATCTTCTATCAGTGCAGAACAATTTATAATTTATTGAATTTATAAATTGCAAAAATTTATAATTGTTCTTGGTAGTCAATTAATGTTTGTTTGTTTAGCAAATTTATAACAAAATAACAGTTGGAAGAAACCTCTTGTCCAACCCCCTGCTCTGGCAAGAAACCCTATATCATTTCAGACAAATGGTTGTCCAATCTCTTCTTAAAAACCTCCATCATTGGAGCATTCACAACTTCTAGAGGAAAGTCGTTCCACTGATCAAAGAAATTTCTCCTTGGTTCTAGGTTGGTTCTCTCTTTGATTAGTTTCCATCCATTGCTTCTTGTCTTGTCTTCAGGTGCTTTGGACAATAGGTTGACTCCCTCTTCTTTGTGGCAGGCCCTTAGATATTGGAACATTACTATCATGTCATGTCTAGTGCTTCTTTTATTAAACTAGGCATACCTGTTTCCTTCAACCATTCTTCATATGTTTTAGCCTCCAGTCTCCCCTAATCATCTTTGTTGCTGTTTTCTGCTCTCTTGCTGAAGTCTTAATATCTTTTTTATATTATGGTGACCAAAATGGATGCAATATTCCAAATGTGATCTTACCAAGGCATTATAACATGTCCATCTCACTCACAAAACAACTCTGAGCACTGCAGAATTAAAAATATATATATAAATATTTTCACAATGGGTAGTTATGCACGAGATGAACTTTTTGTCCCAGATATCTAGGTATATAGTTCCTAGGAATGCAGTTTTTTAATCACTTTCCTTTCTTCTCTGATTTTTTCTTCATCTGAATTCATCAGCAAATTTATGTTTGTTTCACAATGATTTAAAAATGTTAGAATAAAAATTATGAAGGTTTGTCATCCCCAAATATTGCACTAAACAGAGGTATTGTTACAGATAGAAAACTCAGATATGTGTATATTGGGTACATTTAGTGATGTGTTTCTTTGAAAAATTAAATTTATAGTTGTATTCATAAGAAAAGATATCTGTGAAGTTGTATTAGCTGATTATGGATGGTTTCAAATCATACTTTTTAAAGGACCATCAAACTTTGATAAAGCAATATTTGTGTTCATTTGTAGGATGTTATGTGTTATGAGTAATTAATCTGGATATTCCCTCTTTCTGTATTTTTTTTTGAATCAGTATTACGGGATGATTTTCGCCAAAATCCTACAGATGTTGTTGTGGCAGCAGGTGAACCAGCTATCTTAGAGTGCCAACCTCCTCGAGGACATCCTGAACCCACTATCTACTGGAAAAAAGACAAAATCCGAATAGATGATAGAGAAGAGAGAATAAGTGTAAGTAGAACATACAATGCTAGATCTATGTCACCACATTATAAAAAGATGTTGAAACTCCAGAAAAAGTACAGAGAAGATCAACCAGGATGATTAGGGGACTGGAGACTAAAACATATGAAGAACGGTTACAGGAACTGGGCATGGCTAGTCTAGTGAAGAGAAGGACCAGGGGAGACATGATAGCAGTCTTCCAATATTTGAGGGGCTGCCACAGAGAGGAAGGGGTCAAGCTATTTTCTAAAGCTCCTGTAGATCAGACAAGGAATAATGGGTGGAAACTGAACAAAGAGAGATTTTACCTGAAAATAAGGAGAAACTTTCTGACAGTGAGAACAATCAACCAATGGAATAGTTTGCCCTTGGAAGTTGAGACCTTCAAGAAGAGATTGGACTGCCATTTGTCAGAAATGGTATAAGGTCTCCCACTTAGGTGGGAGTGTGTGAACTAGATGACCTTTAAGGTCCCTTCCAACTCTGGTTTTCTGTTATCTGTTATGTGAATTAGAATAGAATAACAGAGTTGGAAGGGACCTTGGAGTTCTTCTAGTCTCCAACCTCCTGCCTAGGTAGGAAACCCTACACCAGGCAAATGGTTATCCAACATCTTTTTAAAACCTTCCAGTTGGAGCATTCACAACTTCTGGAGGCAAGTTGCTCCACTGATTAATTGTTCTAACTGTCAGGAATTACTAAAGAACAAATCTCACTACGGATTTTCAAGACAATTATTGAAATAAATGGCTTTTCATGCAATATACAAATGTATCATACAGCAACTAGAAGTACTAAAATTTGCTTCATAAAATAAAAATAGCAAAGAACATGTAGAATTCTTTATTCTATATGTATGCAAATTTACAGAAATAATTACTGTAGTTACCACTATATAAACAAAATAGTAGGCTCAGTGAAGCAATATACCTTCATTCAGTAAATTATTCGGTGATGTGTTTCCCTTCATTGAAATGATATACCAGCTTTGATGGAACAAAGCACTGCATCAGAACACTCACTTATAGCCTTCTCCCCAAGTTCATCCCAAATGTTTCCACATTAGATAGCTTTGGGTTCCTATAGCATGCAACAAGGTAGCTCCAGGCTGGATAAATGCAGCAGATGCTGCAGGATTTCACACAGTACATGTTGGAACTGGTCATCTTGGAAAACCATCCATATATGCCAAAGGCTCCAATAAGTTGGCTTTAGGCATAGTGCAGGATTCTTCTGTATCATTGATCAACTGGTAGTGCTATTAACACACCACTTAGCTCTTGAATGATTGACAGAATGTTCAGAGATTTTGAAGGAAATGACCGGCATGAGACATGGAGAAAACTTCAGGTTGTATGGCTGAAATTTGGAAGTTGCCCATTCTCTTTTGATCTATAAAATTATGAAGACCATTATAAAGGACTGTGCTAAGATTTTTTAGTATGGCACCAAGTATGCCCTTAATCACTTGGACCAACGCAGTAAGTTTAGGCCATAAACTTTCAGTTTTGCTTTTTACATCTTGATGCTTTGTGATCTTCTTTCTCTGTCTTTTATTCTGTCATTCCTCTGATAACGCCACATCAGTTTTCAACAACAGTTATAGCTGATTTTTTAGGAGCCAAGACTTTATTTCCCCAAGACTATGGGTTCTAGTCGCATTAAAGCTGGCTGGCTTTGGTTCGGTCACTGTCAGCGCATGACATTGGGTTCAGGCAACAAACCATTCCTATTGCAATCAATGGATCAACATTTGGTCAGATGTTCAGACTGGATTTGGCATTTTTGTTCACCAATTGAGTCCTTCCCAAGAACCTGGGATAGGCAGATGTGGATGTTGGATAAAAATTATTCCAAGTAAAGCCTCCTTTTGCAATTGACTGATGGTGAATTTGAATGATGTTCAAGTTGTCCTCCAATTGTTTTGGGATTGCACCTAAGACGTCTATTACTATTAGTACTACTACCTTTGCTTTCTTTTGCCACAGTCATTCTATTTCTATTGGCAGGTCTTTGTATTTTGTCATTTTCTCCAGTTCTTTATCATCTTTTCTGCTGTCTCCAGGTACTGCCATGTTCACTATCTAGACTTTTTTGTTTTTCTGATCGGTGATTTTTAAATCTGGCAAGTTATGCGGCAGGTCTTGACTGTTCGAATTCTAAAGTCCTAGAGCACTTTTTTCTTATGTGTTTATCGTACAGTCAGCCAGATGTTTAGACTGAATGTGGTACTTTTACCCACTTGTCATGATTATTTTTTCCTTCAAATGCACAGTCCTCTATATTTAAATGAAATTAAAATTAAGTACTATTGCTGTTTTTTATTCTTTTCTAAGTATTTCAGGGAAAATTTCATAGTGCATAACAAGTTATCTTTTCAACTTTTTTTTTTAATAATAGATACGAAGTGGAAAGCTCATGATTTCAAATACAAGAAAGGGTGATGCTGGAATGTACACATGCGTCGGCACAAATATGGTGGGAGAACGGGACAGTGATCCTGCAGAACTTACTGTTTTTGGTAAAGGAATTCTAAAATATATTCATGTTTCTGTCAGCTGGCCCAGTCAATGTTATTTGGAAATTTTGTTAAATAACAAGTGTCCTGAATTTTTTTTGAAAATAGCTTTTTGCCTTTGCCTTGACAGCTAGATTTATAGCTAGATTTATTAATATAAATATGCCTTTATTAAACTGTTATATTTTACTCTTATATTTTTCTCTTGTACTGAGATAGTTCAAACATGTTACACTGGTATTGAAACGTAATAAAGATATTATTATTACTTCAATTACTTTGTGCAAGCTATTTCCCACAATGTCTAATGATAAAAGTCTAGGAATTAATCTTATATTGGTTCCTGTTAGAAAATTATAAAATGTATTTGATAAAGTATTACTCAGCTGATAGAAATTTCAAATTCTATTGTTTATTAATATTAGTACGGTACTGTACTGTACCGTACCGCCATGCCATGCCATGCCATGCCATTTTATTCTATTCTATTCTTTCCATAACTCCTAGAAAAAAATATTTGTAACCCTATAGGGAACTGAATCTGTAGTTTATCTATACTTATTCTGAAAAATGTCTGTCTCAAGTAACTAAGTTTTATGATCATTTCTCTTTAGGTATTTTATATTGTTTTCAATTCCTTATTTTAGAAAACTGTTCTTATAAATAATAACCATGTTCTAAAAATAAACTTGAAAAAGAAATTAAGGTTATCTGGATACAGAACCAATGCAGAACAAAGTTATTAAATAAAATTTACTGGAAATGCATAGAAAATTCTAATAGAAGAAAGTGAAGCTGCTGAATATTAAATGTATATGTTGTTTTCTTACATAATGGCTTTTGGATATTTGCAGGAAATATTCCTTTATTTTGGTTTTAAAATGTTTGCTACCAGTATCTAAAATTAATTCTAGCATATCACTGGGAACTGGTATCTAGGTCACCATACAAGGAATTTAGCTTGAGGCATAGCCTCTGGTAAAAATGGGTAACAGAAAATAAAACGTTATCAGGAGCTCAGTGAATATACTGTATATTCAGGAAGAACAAAATTACAATTGCATATGAAGAATTTTTGAAGAAGTTTTCATAAATAAGTTTGGCATACTTTAAATAATCATAGATAGGTATATGACAAGATAAATTAAAATATATTGTTTTTATCCACATAGGCATCAGACAGAGCATTTTGCCAATAAAAGCTCAGCTCCATCCATTCACCCCAACTCTACCCAAAATTAAGAGATTACTGTATCATAAAAAGAGAGTTAGTGATATAATCATTGCAAGTTAATATTGAAAGAAAACTGCATGAGTTTTCCTTTGTGTTAACAAGAAGCATTTCCATTCTCAGTAATACTGACATAATTGTTATTGTAGTTGATGTTTAGATTTAATCAGCATAAACTCATTAAAATCAACGTTGTTGAGCAATTTTGTTGCTGAAAGGATGGTTAAATCTATACTCCAAAGTGTATTATGTAGGTATTCATAATATTTTGTAGTGTTTGCTTTAAAGATAAAAAGTTTTGAATTTTTCAGATTTTTTATAGCTTAAAGAAAATATGTGCATTTAACTACACATGTTAGTTTTGATTCAAAACATATCATTTATGTTGCTTTTATTCACAAATAATATTCTGTTCTTTAAACTTAAGTTCTTAAAGTTGCCATTTTTTAAAAGGAATGATTGAGTGCATGAAACATCTTCTGCCACATTATTTCCTTGGCATGCAAGATATTGCCATAGTTTACTTAAGTGTATGCAATTAGATATTCTGATCTGTGGTTTTGTACTATGTATATTTCTGTTTCTTTATGACAACATTCACCCACAGCATCCACACATTCACTCAAAAGTTTCTTTCAGCTTTCAGAAGCAACTTGTTCATGATCATGGGAGTTTGTTGTAGGGGAGACCTGGTTAGGTTTAGAGGAGAAACTGATAAATAATAGTTGTCCCACATATCAGAGTAAAATTATATAATTATATATAATTCTGCATACTGGAACAAAAATATAAATAATAGAAGCTTCATTTGATCTGAGATAAAAATCCACAGCCATTTGCTTAGATCCTATTCATTAAACATTGACAGTTCAGTTTAGTTGTAATTTTACTCTTTCCTTTTATTTGAGTTACATGAAAGGACCAAATATTCAAATTAATGAGAAAGAATTAAGTAATTAAATAAACAAAATAAATAATTATACTTCATCTTCCAAAGTGAAAGTGATATTATTGGGTTAGCAATTTTTGGCAAATGTTGTATTCAATACTATACATATGTATTATCTCATGATTGTCAGATGCCGTTAATACCCTAAACTTTGTTATACAGGTACTCCTCATAACCAGTTGCTTAGTGACTGTATGAAGTTGTGGTAGATAGCCTCAGAGCTATTTATAAGTCTGTCCCGAAGTTATGACAATTGCAGTGCCCCACAGCTGCTTGGGTTTATGACCAACTGCAGGGATGCTGCAGTGCCCCCACAACCATATCAACCATATTAGGAGAGAAATGGCTCTCACAAGACAAGTGATTATGTCAGCATTTCACTTAATGGATATCATGACTTCCAATCCTAATGGGCAGGCTCCATTACAGTTGTAGTCAAGGATTACCTATATATGCTAATAAAGTATACGAGAAAAATTGGTATAAAGCTTATTTATAACAAGCCAGAGTCCATATGATTGACAAAATGATTTCTTCTGATCTCTTTTATATGCATTTCTTCTCTAAGACTTGTATTATTTAACATAGAAACATTTTGGGAGATAGTAAGATATATTCATTCAGCTATAATCTAAAAAAAAATCCTTTATTTAATATAGAATATATGTCTTCATTTTAATTTGCATTCTGAAAATTATGATTGTAATGATGGTACTCAAATTTATGGATACATTATTTATTGATTAATAGAAAAAACTTTTCAGCCTTTTTTGAAATTAGTATTACTGCACTATGAAAATAGTATACTTTACTTTGGATATACCAGAGAATTGACTCTTTTTATCCAGTGAGGGACTAACATTGTAAAAATGTTGTGGATTTGATTTAAATCTAGTTGATATTGTTGTCTATACATGTACAATATATGCTTTTGAATATTCAATAAGTCCCTTCAGTTTTCCTGGCAACATTTTCAGAAATGGTTTAACCTTGCCTTCTTCTGAGAATGAGTGGACCAAAGTCATCCAGCTGAGTTCTTATCTAAGGCAGAATTAGAATTCAGTTTTCTAGCCCAGTGCCTTTAATCAATATAGCAAATTGGCTATTAATATTATATAAATATTGTTAATTGAATTACATTATTCTAAACATTTTATTCATGAATTGAATAAGGGAATAATCATGTTGTATGACTAATAAGTACAAAAGAGCCAATAACTTACATATTCTTCCCTAACAATAGGCAAAATGTAGAAATGATGTACAAATGCAATAATGAGTATTTGTGTGGAATAGGAAGTCATGTATGCATTTATTTATTTATTTATTTTATACCTTGTCACAATCTGTTTGACTCTCAGGGACTTACATGATATGAAAAAGAAAAAAAAAGAAGGCATTCATGATACAATATAAAACACTCACTTATTTGTATAAAAAACATAAATCTGGGAAACACTAAAATATCAACTCATTAAAATTAAATAAAAGCTCATTAAAATTTAACCAAGCAGGTTAAACATTAGACTTCATAGCTGTTAATGAGAATAGAGAAATGTTTTAATAAATCACTGGGCAATAAATTTATTCTGGGCTGGACTATTTTCAATATTTGAAATGAAACATAGCTATCTTATTTAATGTGGAACTCTTGTTTTCAAGAACGACCCACATTTCTGAGAAGACCAATCAACCAAGTGGTTTTGGAAGAAGATGTTGTTGAGTTTAAATGCCAAGTACAAGGCGATCCTCAGCCATCAGTTCGCTGGAAGAAAGATGACATCGATTTGCCAAGAGGAAGGTAAAAAAAATGCTAATTATTCATAGGGCTTTTAGGATTGCCACACTTACTCATATGAAATATTATTAATCAGGAAAAGGCATATTGGTTAAAAGGATTCTACTATTTATTTACTTCTATTATTAAGAACATGTGTTCTTAAGGAAATATAGTTTGGTAATTAGGGATATTTACCCCTTAAGCAATAATTCTTAAGATCACAGGCCCAGAACACCCAGAAATTTCATCAATAAAATGTGATGGTAAAAATGATTGATTGTAGGGTTAATGCAAAGTTCACTTATGTTTATGAGTTTAGGAATGTAAAGGAAAGAACAGGAGCCAGTTTGGTGTAATGCTTAAGACACCAAGCAAGAAAACTGTGGGAATGGGAGTTCTGGTTCTGCCTTAAGCACAAAGCCAGTTGAGTGGCCAGTCACTCTCTCTCTCTCAGCCTAGGATGTTAACGTCAAACCATTTCCAAAAAGCCAAGAAAACTGCAAGGGTTTGTCCAGGCAGTCTCCAGGAATCAGAAATTATTCAAAGACACATACACACAATGAACACATCTCTAATGCCAATTTGAGAAATGTGAATGAAAAGTCATATGTCACTGGAAGTCTTACAGTCTAACAGCAAACCAGGAGTATGAACTGAAGCAGAAAATGTTGCTTAATCATACAGTAAAGGAATAAGATCTCTGTCCTCCTTTATGTCACTCTTGCATTTTATTCATTATTTTTAGATTTACTACATAATTTCACTAAAATTTAATAACTTGATTTAAAAAAGTGATTGGATCAGATATGATATTAGCTTGACTGCATTAAGTAAAGTAATACAAGTAAGACATAATCTAGAGAATGTTTATTGTTATGTCACTTGAAAAAATATACTTAAATAAATTACACATTGTAAATAAATAAAGTATTCAAATTAGCCAATCCTACATAACTAATTTTCCTGAACATTCGATACAAATGTGGAAAATACTTTTGGAAAATGCGGTGTTAATAAAAGCATAGTGTAAAGGATATAATATTTATAACGGAGCATGAACTTACTACTCTCTAGACATATAGTTATTTCATTTTATAATCTCATCTTCAATATTTTCATACCTGGATATTTGTTTCCAAACCTTGTAAAGCTAATTTTAAAAATCAGTGGTTTTAAATTTCTGTTTGATTGGGGATTTAAAGTTTTTTTTAAAAAATGGATATGGATGTATCACTTCTTTCCTTCCTGCTAGAAGTGCAATGCTATGAAATTCCTGTTTTCTATGAACTTCCTACAAATTCAGGGTCTGCTGTTTTGGGTCAACCAAGTGTTGATCCAATGATTGCAATAGGAATGGCTTGTTGCCTGAACCTAATGTCATTGGCTGTCAGTGACTGAACCAAAGCCAGCCAGCTTTAATGGGACTAGAACTCATAGTCTCCTGGACTAAACTATCATTTATTTATCTGTCTGTCCATCCATCTACATGCATACATACAATTGATGCCCTTGGTTTATCCTGAAAACTGTGAAGAAACAATAATGTCTCCAAGTATCTGAGAGCAAGCAAAAGAAAAAGCAAGTTTAAAATATAAGAAAGTAGATTTTGATTGAGCCTTAGGAAAGATTTCATAATAATAATTACTCTTCAACAATGGAACTGACAGTCTCATTATTTAATGCTTTTCTCTAGTTCCTTTACCAGTTCAACTACTTAAAGAAATACTGCATGGCTCTCTACTAGGCAAGGATCCATAGTAGATTCCTACATTGGGAAGGATTCCAACCATTGCATTATGAAATGAAATGCAATTCTAAAAGCATTTTGAAAATGTAAAGTGAACAAAATGAATATTGATGAGTTTTCAGTGATTTATTATTATAACTAGTTTTCTTCTTTAATGTGTGTTCGACACATTTATACTGAGGGGCAATGAATTCTATAAATGATGGGAAAGTATTTGTAATTACTTCCAGTTGAATACAACCTGACTTATATGTTGAATGTGCCACTTTATTTAAGCTTAGATACAGAACCAATATTACAGACTAAAATATTTGGTGTGGAGATGGCATTTCCTTGGCTTAACATTTAATAACATTTGACTACAGTTTGTGCAGCACTTCATGTTTTCTAATTTCTAGCAAAGCCTAAGAGACCATCTGAATAACTCTAATTATGTAGCAAGTAATATAGGGTTTTTCCCCTTAGAAATAAAATACTTTTAGTTACAGATTGGAATGTATGAAATTCTCTAATAACAATTTACATGGAACATGATATCAGGGCTAGTTTTGTGAGACTGAAATAATGTGCAGACAGAATGAATGTGTCGGTTTTCTTAATATATATCCTTAAAGTATCTATTTTATGGGAGGTGGGATATTCTTGCTCTGAGCAGCTGGCTCAGTAAATACCTCTTTAATGAAATTACAATTGGTATTTGTATGTTGGATATGTAGATATTTCATATTAACTGACAAGAGAACTGAAGGTAGCAACAGCTATAAACTACCAGCAGGAAAGAGCCATTTCTTTAAATTTATTCTCTGTAGTGCAATAAATAGAATAATGCAAGAAAACATGGTAAACTAAAAATAATATGCAACTTGCCCTGCTTTTACAATGAAATGTTATGTTGCTAAAAAATTCTTTTGGTAACCTAAGAACCAGTTCTGTTTTAATGGAAAATTAAGAAAAAAATCTCTGGTCTCATTTTGCTTTGGCAAATATTTTTTTTCTGGGACTGGAAAAAGATAAAGTGAAATGAACATTATCACTAGTTAACTTGATAAACAAAGTTCCTATCATTAATGCCATAGGAAATTCTGCATTACCCATCTAAACTATTTGCATTTCCTGTTGCTTTTCACCAGGCAATGTACCAAAAGTAGCATATTGTTATTATTTCTACCTCCTCCTCTACAAGTGAAACAAAATGAAGATTCTAATTATCTAGTCATTTTTTTTGTTTTTGTTTCAATTAATGGTATAAATGGTACTGTTACTTATTAAATCTACCTCTATCTGTTCTAACATGCTGGAATTTTTAGTGATAATTTCCAAGAAAAGATACCCTGATAAATGTAAGTTGTGGGATTTAGCACTTCATATATTTCCATGGTGATAAGATAGGAATTTGGGATTCACTTTTGAAGTCGGGCATTTCATACAATAAAATTTGTCCCTCTATGGCTTGATGCTTGAATTCAGTAAGCAATACACCCACAGCCTAAAAGAAAGGATAAATGGACATTTAGCTTGAAAGTGATATAATGCATTGTTTATGCCAAGAGATGGGATCTAGCCATTGCTGTCATTTTTTGATGAGCTGTAGACCAGTTATAGGGTCCTTTATTTGTTTTTATACTAAATAGACATTCATATTGGCATATTTCTTGATTTTTTTAGTGACCTTCAATACAATCATGGTGTTCTCTGCAACAATCATGGTGTTAGGAGTGGGAGGCATGGAGTTTTGGTGATTCTACAACTTCCTCTATGATTAGTGACAATTGATACTGGGGGAGAGAGGGTAGAAACATAGCTCTAAATCCCTTGATGTGTGGGGTTGTCATACATCTGTATTTTTCCCCTGTTCCTATTTAATATCTACAGAACACTATTGGGTAGCTTGCCCAAAAGAAGAAAGGTAGATATCATCCATACTGTGTGCTGATAATATCCTTCTTTCATTTTCACCTGTGTGAGCCAAACAGTGCTATAAATATTCTTTTGCAGTGTTTCAAGGCAGCGGGAAGAAGAGGCTCAGTTTTAGGTCAACCTTGGCAAAATGAAACAGTTATCAATTTTGCAGTCCTCCCTCCCCTCAGGAGCTAGGCCTTATCGTATTTGACTATGAATGGAGTAGCATTCTCCTACTAATTTACACATAAATTAAAAAAAACTGTTTTTCTGTATGATATAAAGGAATTAAAGTTGATCACATGAGCAGATTTTCTGTTTAAATTAATAATGAGCAATGTTAAATGAAGGCTGGAGAAATTTTTTTTCTGCAGTTAAACATAGCTCTTTAAAACATTTTGTCTTAATGAACCTATACTGTTTTCAGTTTTTCAGCAGTATAAATCAAGGAGATTTATTTCTTTTATGAAATTAATAGAGTAGGTCAGAGAATGTTGTTAAAACCTTGACAATAGAAGGGACAAAGCTGATATATTATTTCTGTGTTTGTGTGAGATGGAATGTCAGAAAATATATATTGTCAGATATAGTTTACACTGAATTAACCTGACAGCTTCTGAGCACTGTAGTGGCTAAGGAAGAATCTTCAGTTTGATATACTATCTTTGGTTAATAGAAAATTAATAGTAGAAGGCATGTTAATTTTATTTGGAAATGGTTATTAAAAAGAAATGCTGATGTTGAAAATTTTACCATTTCTTGCCTGATTTAACCATTAGTCATTGCTCATTAAAAGAAAAACAGGAGCGGAGTCTCTTATTTTCTTCAAAGAAAATTCACTACTGTGTTTTATAAACTGAGATCCTGGGAGGTTTGACATTCCAGTGCTTAAGGGCTGAATTACAATATCAAAAAAGTAATACAGGCTTTCAGAAGAACATGCTTCTAAGAGGATTGAAAAAATAGTTATGCTTTCACTGGAATTTGGAATTTGCAATGAAGATAACAGAAACCTCCATAACAAATTATTTTATGAAAACATTCTTTGGTATTATTTCTAAAGCTCTGCTAACCAGCATATTATTGATGAAACATGATTTCTAAAGTGTATAAATATAATGGTAGTATATGGATGTGAGCTTTCTATTGCTTCGTTGTCCATTTGTAATAATATTAACAAATAATATCTTTAATATTTTATGCTTTTTAATTATTTTCTTCCCTTGTTCACAATACATGTTGTTTGCTAAAACAATTATATGAAAATATTAATTGCATTTATATATTAAAACTCATACAGTGTGCAGTTTTCAAAATTGGATTGTTAATATTCTTCCCAAATCATGACCCTAATGGGATTTTTGGCTATCAACCATTGCTTTTTATATTTTAATACTTTCCAGTCATTTTTTACAGAAGCATAGCTTGACAATATTTGCCCGACTCTTAAATTATACTTAAATAGTTCCCTACATGGAAAAAAATTCTTATGCAAAATTTTATAATGTTTTAAAATCAAGTAACTAAGGCATGTTGGCTATTACCTATACTTTATATTGTCTGATAGTACTGTATATATTAATTCAAATAAATTTAATGTACAATTATGTACAAGTAAGTTTCCTTGAAATCAATACTTTTCTTGGCAATTTTATATAATAGTAATGAGCTTTTTTTTCAAAAGAGAAGTTTTTGACCACATATTCCATGGTTCATGAAGTTGGAAAAAAATAAATCAGAAAAATGACTTTAAAAACAAAACTATAATTTCCTGGAAGCTTTTCAATTACATCTAGTTGCCACCCAAATAAATAAAAATTGGTTATCTTTGCTCTCATAAGAGTAACTATCTAATGCGCACACAGAGACACACAAAATCAGGAATATATGTTTAGGAAGAATAGAGGTGTTCTAGGAAAAACCGTTCAGTTGTATAGTTCAGAGTACAATACTCACTCAATTCTGCCTGTCAATCCTCCAAGGACCAGCCTAGGATACCACAATTACATATGCTATTACTATTTTTAATAGAATTATAGTAACAGAATCTTGCAATTCTGAATTTTCTATGCCCACCTTCTTTCTTCCATCTTATGAGAACTAGAAATAGTCTTGTCAAAGATGCTTATTACGGATTTGCCTGGGACCGGGGTAGGATTCTACCAGTTCAGCCCGGTTCTATAGAACCAGTAGGTCTGAAAAGCAGCTGACACCGAACCAGTTCAGTGCAATGATCTTCTGGTCTTCTCTTTGGCCCAACCACCCACCTGAGCTCTAGGCTGTGCCTTATTCCCTGCTTTTTCCTCATCAGCTGCTTTGCGTAGCACAGCTGAGTGCGACTCATCAGCTCGAGAAGGTGAATGCTTGCCAGAGCTGGTAGTTTGTAAATAGTGTGTGAGCGCACACAAAGCACGTGTTCACCAAACGGGTTGTTATGCCATTAGGCTCCCACCCTTGCCTGGGACTCCGATTTCTTTTCTTTCTGACCAAAAATATACAATAACATATATCTTTGCGTATTATTTTTTAAATTTCCAATTACATTCCATTTAGTAAGAATTTCCTTAAATTCATATTTTAATTCAAGGCTTTTTATATTCATGTTTTTTAAATATACAGTTTCTTGCAGGCATTTATAAATTTTAAAACTAAGAAAAAATTCAGAAGAAATATATGAAAGATAAAGTTAGTTTGGTTGTGTATATGATTGTGTACATATGACCAAGGCCAGTGCTGGTTTTGGAAAGCTTTTTCTGCATTGTCTATTATTGTTATCTCAATTTACTATTGTTTATTGTATAATAAATATAATTATCTCATTTATTCTTAAAATAATGTAAAGAAAAATGTAGACTTTTTCTGATGCTTTTTTATTTGAATATATTTAAATATAATTAGTCCAATCAGCAATGAATAACTGAATTTGATGTAATGTCTAAATTCATAAAATGAATAAAAGGAAATTGGTTCCTTGGTTTCCTCACAAATTAAGCTGCATTATTCCCTTTAACAGTTAAAGTACCATGTTCTATGAAACAGGCTCCTCCTACTACAAATAATCTATCTTGCTTTAAGATAATGCAAATTCAAATTTGTGAATAAGAATAATTATTCAAAACTAGTAAATATTTCCACATTTTGTGCTGAGATAAAGCTATACATCAGGCTGCCTAAAATGTCATTTTCTAATTGATATAATTTCTAATTCTGAAATACCTTGCATTAAATTAAATTAAAACTAAATATTACAACTAATGTAAGGAAAATAAATAACTTCATAATGTGCTGCTTCTAATTTCTAAGTATCATTATGAACGTGTGTCACATTTTTGCCACAACCTTATTTCATAGTAGAAGAAAATCACTTCTCTATAAATCAACATACTATTTTTTAATAAAAACAGGGAACAATGTATACACTTTGATTGTGAGTGCCTTGCATCACTTACCGTTTAGTCCTCTTTTTCAAGTGTATTATGTAAAGTTTTGTCAAATTTTTTAGCTATAGCTATTCTTCCCCCAATTACTTAGAATTAGAACTAATATTTTCAGCTTATTACTATGAACCTGAACCATAAATATATTACAATCACTGTAAGAAATAACAGCAGAATATCATCTGGGAGTAATTTACTTCTGAATTAATAACATACATGAAAAAATTGTAAGCATGGGGATACATATTCCATATTTGTTATTTTAAATATTATCCTCACAGAATTACAATTAATCTGTATTACAATACGTGAAACATAAACATAATGAATGAACAAACTACTAAGCTTCCAATTTCTACATGTGTTTGTTTTTGTAAGTCTTCTACAACATCTCCACTTGTTATAGCAATCTTGTCTGTTTTTGTGTATGTCAGATAAGCCTATTCCTGTTAATTTTTAATTAGAATTTGTCTTGTTATTGTTCATATTACATATCACAATGTCCTGATAATACTGTCCTATTAGAATTCCATGGAATTATTTCCCTAGCTTTATCAATATCTTAAGTCATACTTTCCAACCCATATCTCATTTGTTGATTCATTCTGACTCCTGTTATATTCACTATGGTTTGGTTTCTTTGGTTTTAAAGCCTCACTTTATTCCCTTTAAAAGTTTCTATTCTTTCTCCATAACATACTGGAGTGGCTGCATATGAACCAAGCACTTTTACTCTTAACTAAAACAATAACAGATTATAATGTACTTCTAATTCCATGTTCAAAATTGAAAATATTTGGTGGGCATATGTAAATATGACATCATCAATAGTTGATCATTAAGTTTCACATGCTGTTACATAGTTTGGGAGAATAAAAATTAGAATATCTCTGCTCAAGGAAGAACAGAATCCACCCTTTACAACAGGGGTGTCAAACTCAAGGCCCACAGGACAGATCCTCCCTGTAGGGTGCTTAAATCTGACCCATGGGACTGGTCTGGAAAAAGCAAAAGATCGGTCCATGGTGCCTATGGCAGCCAAAAGAGGGCACAGGGGCATGCATGGCCCCATTTTCTTCCTGGATGGCCTCCTGCAGCACTCTGCCAGCCCAAACGGGGCATGGGTGGTCTCACGCACCCCCAGTGCCCCATTTTGGCTAGTAGGGTGCTACAGGAGGCGTCTGTCCCATCTCCCTTCTGCTGAGCTCTGGAGGAGAACTATAATGCTGATCCAGCCCTTGAAGAAATCCAGTTTGACACCCCTGCTTTACAATGATAGCTTTTAAGGCTAGCAATAGGCAGCACACCATTTCAATTGAGATTTATATTTTAATAAAAATGTGAGGTGTTTTTTTAAGAAGAACCTGCACATTAAAATAACCTGATGCCCTGGGAAAATAATAATAACAGATTTTTTTTGCAGGAAAATCCATGATTCCTATTGACCTTAAACCAAATAATTTGAGAAAAATAGAATACAAACTTTAGAAAGTTTAAATTATTCCTATTAATGTAAAAAAAATTAATAATAAAAATAATTTTTTATTCCTTGAAAGCTATTATAGTATAAATTGGCCCAATCTGGTCTCATTTTCAGTGTATCAAATAGGAAATTATGTGAAATTGTATATACACAAATAAAGCTAGATAAATATTATGTAAACCCATATTTTAAAATTAATACAGCATTCAAATAATTGTTTATAATAAAGCATCTTGTTTATAAAAAATTTAAAAAAATAATTTTCCCTAAAGACATGCTATAATGTATATTGTTGAGAACATTTAGCATGTATAGAAATCTTACAGATCTTATGTTTACTTTGGTTGCTTAAAATCTAAAATTCCCCTTAATGTAACTAAGTTATTACAGAGCTGAGATATTTTGATAGGTATATTTTATATTCATCAGATCAGAATAAAACTTAGGATATTATATTCTGATAATAGTGCTATCTGATTGTACTGGTTTAGAATAAGGACAGTATAAGTGATATTCCTAATATAACTTTAATGTGACATGAACATAGCCATACTAATTTTATGGCTGTAAAACTTTAAGTAATACATGGTTCAGTAAAAGTGTCATGAAGATTAATTTTTAGTGGAATTATGTCATTTCATATAATGAATTATCTTCTAGAGATGTTTCTGTGTTAGAATAATGATGACAGCATTCCTGGTGAAAAAATAAACTTGGTATAAATTCTCTTTTCTATTCTAAAAGCAGATATGATATCAAAGATGATTATACTTTGCGTATTAAAAAGGCTATGAGCTCAGATGAAGGAACATACACATGCATAACTGAAAACAGAGTTGGAAAAGTTGAATCATCTGCAACTCTTACAGTTCGAGGTGAGTTCTGAACTATTTAAAACATATAACTAAATATAACATAGTCGGATATATCATTTGGTGGCTGAAGATTAGATTCTAAGATTTAGAATACAGGATACAATTGTATTTAAATAAGCAGCTCTTACTTGTAGCTTACTTTGATCACTGATAGTAGTTGTCAAGAATATCACGGAGAAAAGCTTTTTTTTTTTTGACATTTATACACTTCCTAATGATTAAAAATAGATTTTGATGCCATTACATTTATTATAGCAAGAGAAAGTTCTTAAAACTCATGAAACCTCTTTTGTTACTGTAATCCCAAGAGACAATAAAAAGAGCTTTATATTTTTATAAGCATTACATAATTAAGTGCCTATACATTTTGTTCTTGGAAATCTTATAAATAAGGAAATTGAAGAAAAAAGTTCACAATTTCACATTTAAATGAAACAATAGCAAATTCAGCTGACATCATATATCTCCTTATCCAAATGAAGTTCCGGTACTGTTGTAACAAAAATTAAGAATAGATATATGAACAAGAGTTTATAGTTTTCTTCATTACAGCTGACCATGCAGCAACAGGTGACTATAAAGCCAGTCATCAAGAAATATAAGCTTTTATTTTTCACAGTAAATTTAATATATCAGACTAGTACAATATATAAAGAATCAAGAAAGAATTAGATGAATGTATGAGGAAGGAGGAAAAATGTGGTGATATGGGACTGCTATACTATACATATGTATCAATACAGTTCATATAAGGGAATGTAGATCTTTTTTTGATGTAGAAAAAGAAGTAGAAAATATCAAGGTACGCAAAAGGGAGGGCCAATAGACAGTATATTGTATAAAATACAATAGGTAGTATATTATATAAGTTACAATAAATTATTGAATTGGTTGCCATTTTTTTCCAAACACTTGTTATTTTTTATGATGTGTGACTTTTGAAAATTCATAACTACAGTAACTGTTTTTGGAATTTTTTTTAACAAAATACAGTATCTATTGTGATTGCCTGTGGATTCTGATTTTTGGTCTGCCATATATAAAACAAGATGGTTTTACAACTTGATATGTATGTGAGAGACAATTTTATTATATAAGGGATACTGAGGAACAAAATATTTGTGGAGATTTCATATTTTCACTGTTAACCTAATCAATCTTGCATTCATATCATATTCTTTTTAGAGTATATGTTCTGCTGGAATTCTATTCATTCTCCTTTCTGTGTATTTTTCCCATTGCCAGCTGTGAACTTCATTGGTAATGAATGCAGCTGCAGGTTGTTTTATAAATGGGTAGACACACACAAACATAAAAATAGAAGTATAAAAAATAATGGACATCGTACAGACACTATTTCACATTTTAGCAGTATGTGGTAAAGATTTCACTAGAACTGCAGAAATTGCTTCATGAGTGGTTTTTCTCGTTTATCCTCATTATATTATACTGTATAAATTTACATGGTCTGCTTTATTAGAATATAGGTCAACTGATCTGAATGCCAGCTTTTGTAATATGGTTTAGTTAATTGATGAATTTGGATGGAAAAAGAAAGGAAAAAATGGAAAAAAAGGCATACTAATTCTGGCAGTGTGAAACTCCAGATTTTTTAAAATAGAGGTTTTATGCTTTATGTTTACAATTAATAGTACAAATAATCCTATTAAACCTTATATAACAATGAATTGCCTCATATATTTCATGCAATCTTCAGAACAGGCATTAGTACTTTAAGAGTACAGTTCACTCTAATAAAAGCAAAGCAATAAGGTAGAGTTTATATATATAAATCTAAAGTATTTTAAGTCTAATCCAAATAAGTCATAGCAATTAATTCTTAAATAACACCGTTCCTTAAATCAGAGATTACAAATCATGGAAATTGAAATAAACACAATTGCAGTTTTTTAGTGCGTGTTTTTGTCTGCTCTCTTTTTTATATACATTTTATTTAGAGTAAGAGAATGACTGATATGGGAATATAATTGAGAAGAATCCTTCAGCAGTGTCCAGATTTTCTGAATATAAAGGTTTTGGTTTTTGGCAAGCAATTAAATAATGAAGTTGAAATCCAAATTAGAATCCACCTTCTTTCTTCAAGTTCACCAGATTCTGTTAGCAAAAGTAATTTGGAAAATTTGTTTCATGTTCCAAATGGAATTTATCTTAAAAATCAAAACTTAATAAATTTCCACTGTTGAGTTTCTGTTTTAAATCCCTTTTTACTTTGTATGGTGGTTTCCTTAACAACAGTTACAGAGCTTTTATTGTTTTTGAATTATATTAATATTAAACCATGCCTTATAACATTGAAACTGCCAAATTATGAATTTTTCTTTTGAACAGTGTAATTTACTCCATAGAAAACATGCACAGGATAAAACTTGATTAGAAATGTAATATTAGAGAACATTATTCTTTTAGAAATATATACATACAATAATAGTAAGGTTAACTAATTTTAAACACTGTTGGTTTGACAATGTCCTAATTTAGTTATAAATGTGTTGTAGCATCTCTTCTGAAAGTGGCAAGTCAGTCAATAAATATTCACACCGCGAATTTTAAAGTAATTATGGTTATATCATGTCAAAACATATCCATTTCTTGTGTTTGAAGCCTACAAAATTATAACTGAAAATGGTGTTTTATTGTGCAAATCATAAAGAAATTTTTTTAAACAATTAAAATAAGTAAAAGCTACACATTTCAAAGAAACTTATAAATTTATTTTGTGAAGCTTGACTAATGCAGCTGAATAATATAATAATTAAGTATTTAATACTATTATGTGATTAATTCTTTAACTGCTTTGTTTCTTCTACAAAATGTTCCATGTAGACCTAAACTTGCCCTTCAATCAAATAAGAGCTGACACATAAGCCAAACACTAATGTGACAATCTAATGCCATGATAGACACCTGCTAAACTGAAGACACTCAAAGTTAACATATATTTGAAAGAAAAATATCCCATTAATCAGGTCCATTTTTTTTAAAAAAAAGTAAGAGTTACCCAACAGTATTTTCTGAAATTCTGTTAAAATCCCTTTGATCATTCAAAATTCGTTGTTTTGATTTTATCATCTCAATCAGTGAATATGGAAAAATGCATTTTATTTGTTACTAAAATATTATACATACACACAGATATTACTACATATTTTTGGCTTTTCTCCAAAATCCTAGCTAGATATGGTTAAACGCCTTTGGTGTTTAAGTCAAATACTGATGTTATTCCTTCTTTTCATTGGATTAATATTTTCCAATGTGTGAGTTTGGATTAAATAAAAGAAAATCTGGAGATTGAGCTGCTTTTCTTTAAATATTTATAATCACGTTTGATAGTGTCATATGAACCTAACAATAGAAGTAATCAGATCACTAATTCTATATAATTAAATTCTATGCATGTATTTCTTGTTTCAATTTTAAAATCATAAATAGTAGAAAGAAATTATTAATTATGGTTGCTATATATGAATAATGTTCAGGTAATTATCCACATATAGCATAGCATTACACATCATGCATTCTGACAAATTCTTTTTTTTTCTTTAATTTTGTTATGTTTTCACCACACCATTGTAATATCTCCAGTTCGTCCTGTTGGTAAGTAGCCATCCTTCTATCCATTTTAGCATAATTTCATATAATTCTCCATCTTTCATTTATTATCATACAGATGTGTTTTAAAATAATAATTATGTCAACTCATAAAATATTTATATGGAGTTGTCAACAGAAAGGGAGGGGGAGCATTGCGGCAGCTTGGAAACTGAAAGTGCATTCCATAGTTTTCAAAGATAGTAACTAGGTGACTGAATTTTCTGCTGCACAAAATTCTAACTGGAGAACATGATTGATGATTCTTGTCTATGGATGTGTCCCATTGGAGAATATGAATTATGATACACCCAGGGGGTGGGGGGAAACCAGGGTCAAGGATGACAATGAATTATATGTCTCAGAGTTGGCTACACCCAGGCAGTGCAGAACATTTAACTCCCAATAAATCCTTTTGAAGTTTTGAAAGCTTGGCTTGAGACTCATGATTTGATTGGGGTAATTGCCGGAATCTTGACATATTACTAAATAGAGAAGGAAAGAATTATTATTTACCTGTTTTCAAAGTTATTATACAGTAGAAAAATTAGAATAATGCAAGGACCTTAATAATTTGGTGTCATTTCTGAATCTGAACTGTTGCATAATAGAAATAATGAATACATTTTATTAAAAACCTGCAATCTAATTTGTGCCCTCACTGAAATAAATGAAATTATGTTCTTTGATTGTATCAGTAGTAATGTACTGGGGAAAAAAATTAAAACAGCAGTGACTGGTATAAGTAGATTTATATTTTTGGTGTTGTATTCTTTGAAAAAATACAAAAGTTATGCTTTAGCTGAAATGAATTTTATTTCTAATATTAAAGAGATATTTACACAGAAATTATTTAAGAATTGTTATTCATGTCATTTTTATTTGTATTAGAAATGCCAGTTGTGTTCAGTATGCTCAATATGATATACAACAGAATACTGGTACAATGTTCTGTGAAATGACATTTCTAGAGATTGTTTTTTCAGTGACGTTGTTAAATAACTATACTAATACTGAGAGGTTATAAAACTGTTGATATCATTACTATTATTTTATAGGGTTTCAACTGAAATAAAAGAAGCTTTTTACTAATGTGTCAAATATGTATGTGTCCTTTGGTTGTATGTGATATGAAATACAGGATAGGTATTGTTTTAAAGGTTTTCATTCTGTCTGAGGGGAAAAGAAAAGATCCAGAGTTAATCATTGCTTCTTGTATTATTTTCATTTTCCAAAACCAAACATTAAAATTCAATTTTAAATCATTAAATTATTGGTATAAATTATTAAATTAACCCTGCCTTCTCTGTTAAAACAAATCATTTGTATCATATGTTACTGAATTTGTGTATGCAGTCAAACACAGTTCTGTCTGTCATTGATTGGGATTGTAATAGATTATTATTAATCTGTTTAATAATTAACACCTGACCTCTGTTTGTAAAACATAACTAATAACTATTTTCCTTATTTCTGAGATATCTTTTTTTAACTTAAGCATTTAGATTACCTTCTATAGTTTACATTAGATAAATTCTGGAAATAGAGCATTCATTTATTTTCCCTCCATTGTTGTCTACTATTGTTCTCATCAGATTTTCAGATAGACAAATTGATATCTTCATACACAGAAATTCTATTGCACTGTTTCTACCTGGTTTGTTTGTCCCAAATATAGTAGCAGTTATTGTCCTGCTTCAGGTTTCAATTATACACTCACACACATTTGTTAAAGAAATTAACAGTTTACTCAAGTTCAAGGAGATATCAGCAGGCAATGAATGCAAATCAAAACAGACTCTCTGAATGGGGAGGTTTTGCTTTCAACAGGAACATGCAGAATAATACTTAAAATCCAGTCCAGAGTTTCATCAGCCAGAGCAGAATGGTTAGCCAGTCCAGAGATCAAATTTTCACAAACAGAATCCAAATAAGCATCATGTAACAACCAGCACTCAAACAATTTCAGTGAAGGATGATGGCTCAGGGCTGCCTCTTAAATGAGGTTGCAGCAAGCTGTCTTTAAATAAGGGACTTTTTCTACATATTTAGACTGAGCACATGAGTTCTGAGCTGTGACCATCTCCCCCTCTCCACAATTTCCTCCAACCTCAGTTGAGGGTTTAGGATTTTTGGGGTATCAGCAATGGTGAAATACCAAGAGTGGTGCATCCTCCCAGGAACATTTCTCTCCACCGTTTCCCTTCCAGACTATTGTAATCAGTGTTGAAGCCAACATATTGATACTGGAGCATTGGGAACCAATACGATATATGGAAGATTGAGTGCATTTTGATAATTGCAATTGATAACCCTCTGCTTCAATGGGAAAAAGAACTGGGAACTGGTCATTTAGTTTTTTTTGGATCTGCACTGAGTAACAAATGTCAGGTGGAAATTCACACAAAGCCTGCAAAAGACAAGGTGACTCTTAAGTTGATGATGTTGAAATTCTTTGCCTCCTGTACCTGGTCTTGAAGGACTTAGTGGGTTGCCTTCAGTTCCTATGAGAACCGATCTTTGACTAGAATTGATGAATTAAAGGAATTCAAAAGAAAGAAATAAGGGTAGAAACCATAATTAACTACCAGTAGGAACAGGGATATCTTTATGGAGGTGTATTTTACATTGTTGTAGACAAACTCCACTGCAGCCAGACACTCAACCCAATTGTCTTCTTGATAATTGACATAATCACAGAAATATTCTTAAGGATAGCATTCACAAGTTCAGATTTGCCTGTCTGTTTGGATATGACAGCTGAGGAAAGATGGACTTGCACCCCCAAACCTGTTAGAGTAACATCCAAACAAAGCAGTGATTTCCTGGCCCTGATAAGAAATCAGATGCTCATGTAATTCATTTAGGTGGAAAATATTATCTAAAAAGAGACTTGTCACCTCCTTTGCTGTGAGTAAGCAGGTACAGGGAATGAAATGAACCACCAAGAGGGTTGGTGGTCCTTTTGGTAGAGGTTCAATAATATATATTAAGGTAGTAATGGTATATATATTAAGGACATGCATAAGCACACCAACATGGCTACCATCCCTGTCTTAATGTTCCCTTTTATTCATATCTATTTCATGTATCAATAATCATATTTTTACTTATATATATATTATCAAATGCATCATTGACTAAATAAATAAAGTATAGTCTGATATAGTGATATACAGAAGGACATGGTTTGTCAGGATCTTTCCAGGATTCACACTAATAGAAGTTCCCCAGGTAGCTTTTGTGGAATATCAGCAACAATCAGGACAGGAAGTGATATACTGCTCCACCTCTATTTGGAGATGTAGCCAGCAGGATTTTTTACTCAATAAATATAGAATCTTAAAATGTCCAAAGTGTCTTGCCATTGGACTGTTGTGGCTCAGTCTTAGGACCATACTCCATAAGGGCTCAGTGGAAACTTAAATTGCAAGAATTTCTCCTGCAATTTCTCTCCAACAGGTCTGTGCATGTCTAGATGTTACTGTTCCTTTAGTTCCTATAATAGAGTTAATGGGACATTGGAGCAACAGTGTTTTCTGAATGTTTGACAGTGGCAGATTATGAGTCAGGGTCAGAATGTTCATAGAGGGCATCAGCACATTACTTGTGTGAATATATGCAAGGGATATGATTCTGAAATTAAAGTGAACAAAGAAAAACATTGAGTGGATTAGTATTTAATTTAGTTTCCTGATGGTTTGAAGATGTTTATGGTTTTGGTGATCAATACAGACTTCCACTGGGTGTCTGGCTCCTTCTATCAGATGTCACAGATTTCAAAAGTGGCTTTAATTGCTGGCAGTTCCTTATCCAGTGATACTGTTTTTCTCAGCCATCTTTCCGTTTCTGAGAGTAATAGCTACAAGAGTATATACTGGAGGAACATCAAATCTGCCTGAAATAGTACTGCTCCCAACACTATCTCAAATATGTCAATGTCTATAATAAAAGGACTTGCTGGATCTGAATGACAAAGATTGAGCTGAGAGGCAAATGCAGACTTTAAAGCTTCAAAAGCTTTCTGGACCTTATCATTGAACAGTGATCTTCTGGAAGAGGTTGGTCAATGGTACTGTGACTTCTAATAAAGAACTGGTCATAATTTGCAAATCACAGGATGCATTGTTCATCCTTGTGTGAGGACTACCAAAACAAGATAACATCTACCTTATCAGGATACATGGCACTATCAATAGAAGATATATGATTGCCTAGAAATTCTATTGTGGTACTCTCAAATTCATACTAAGTGAGTTTTGTAAATATATGATTTTTCTGCAGTCTCTGTAAATTGGTCTGATATGTTGTTCATGCTCTGCAATAGAAGTCAAGAAAATCAGGATATCATCAATATAAATAATGATATAATACAGATACAGACAATCAGAATTGGAAGGGACCTTGTAGGTCATCTAGTCCTACCCCCCACCCAAGCAGGAGACCCTACACCATTTCTGACAAATGGCAGTCCAATCTTTTCTTGAAAGTCTCAAGTGATGGCGCTCCCACAACTTCCAAGGGCAAGCTGTTCCATTGGTTGATTGTTCTCACTGTCAGAAAGTTTCTCCTTGTTTCCAGGTTAAATCTCTCCTTGTTCAGTTTCCATCCATTATTCCTAGTCTGGCCTACAGGAGCTTTAGAAAATAGCTTGACCCCTTCCTCTCTGTGGCAGCCCCTCAAATATTGGAAGACTGCTATATCTCCCCTGGTCCTTCACTTTACTAGACTAGCCAAGCCCAGTTCCTGCAACCGTTCGTTGTATGTTTTAGCCTCCAGTCCCCTAATCATCCTGGTTGCTCTTCTCTGTACTTTTTCTAGAGTCTCAACATCTTTTTTATAATGTGGTGACCAAAACTGGATGCAGTACTCGAGGTGTGGTCTTACTAAGGCTTTATAAAGTGGTATTAGTACTTCCCTTGATCTTGACTGTATCCCTCTGTTAATACAACTTAGGATTGCATTAGCTTTTTTGGCGGCGGCTGCACACTGCTGGCTCATATTTAGCTGCTTGTCCACTAAGACTCTAAGATCCCTCTCACAGTTATTGCTATTGAGCCTGGTTTCACCCAGTCTATATGTGTACTTTTGGTTTTTCTTGCTTAAGTATAGGACTTTACTTTTCTCTACACTGAATTTCATTTTGTTAGATACGGCCCAGTGTTCTAGTCTGTCAAGATCCATCTGGATCTTGAGCCCATCTTCCTGGGTGTTAGCTATTCCTGCCAGCTTTGTATCATCTGCAAATTTGGTAAGTTCTCCTTCTATTCCCTCATCTATGTCGTTAATGAAGACATTGAAGAGTATTGGCCTAAGATGGAATCTTGTGGCATCCACTGCTTCCTTCCTTCCATGTAGACTTAGACCCATTAAGGACTACTCGTTGAGTATGGTTTGCCAGCCAGTTGCGAGTCCATCTAGTGGTGGTGCTATCTATTCCACTTTTTCTAGCTTACTAAGAAGTCGGTTGTGGTCTACTTTGTCGAATGCCTTGCTGAAATCTAAATATAATGATCTAGGAGATCTCAGAACACATTGCTAATAAAATGCTGGAAGATTACACAAGGATTCATCAGTCCAAGACACATGACCATATATTCAATATGCCCATAGTATGTTCAAAACACTGTATTCCATTCATTTCTCTTTCTTTTGCACATTAAATTGTACAACCTTTAATATCTAACTTGATAAACATTTAGCGTTGTAGAGGCATTCAGAGATGAATGACAAAGAGTAATGATTATAAACAGTAATCTGATACAGTTGTCAGTAATCGTTGCAGACACTAGGTTCTCCCAATTTCTTTCTAAAAAACAGTACAAGAGTCACTGCAGGAAAGGCTGAGGGTCAAATAAAGCATCTTTTCACATTTTTATCAATGGATCCCTTCAAAGCTACCAACTAATGCTGTGATAAAGAGACATCCAACTCGGATCTTAGCCCCATTACAGATTAATAGGGTAGTCATGCAATTGATGCGTTAGTAACTGCTATTCTTTTCTTTGACTGATTACATCTGTGAAGTCTCAGTATTTAATGAGAAATGTTGTTCAGCAGCTAAAATTGCAGGAATGACAAACTTATATTATTAAATTCTTCATCTATCACCAATTTTTGTTTTTACATGTCAGATTGACATATAATGGCTGTAGGATTTCTCTCTAAAATTGCAATCTGATTTAGGGCCATATGACAATTCAGTTTCCCTGTAGGCCAAAAAAAAGTCTCAGGAGGGAACTGATTCCATATACCTTTCTTGCTCCTAGCCTCTAAGGCCAATTCTAAGTGACATCACAAACTTTAATCTGGTGAATCCAAAAACATGTGGCAGAAGACAAAGCAAAAAAAAAAAAATTACTAGATGCAATTCAAAGAATCTGAACTGTTCAAACTTTATGTCAAATGACGGACAGATAGATATATCTGAACACACCCAATATGCACTCTGGATAACTTCTCATTTTTGGTTGTGGAACTAAAATTTAAATATAATCTGAACAATATAAGAAACATAAAAATATAAATACCCCCAAAATGTTTTTGGACTGCTGATAGTATGACATAGGAGATTTTGCTGTGTTATTTTCCAGTGTTATTAAAGACAGAATTATTTTGATTTTGTGTTTAAACTGAATGCTTAAAAAAAGCAACTTTATTACTCATTTTAAAAATCATTTTTTATTTATTTATTTTGTCTTATTTATTCAACAAGCTTATATGGTTGCCAATATACCAGCAGGACCTCAAGCAGTGCACAAGAATACAGTTAAAAATTGATTTTAAACAAACAAAAAATATGTAGTTCCCACAATAAAACTTACCTCCATCAATCAGTAGATCATTAAATCATGAGCATTTCTGAACTGCCCTATAACTGTACAATTATTAGAAGAGCCATGAGTTCAGGAAAGAGCAATCTACAACCAGTTTTAATAGGACTGTACATCAGCTACTTTCAGTTCAGAAAAAAGCTTACTTATGAATCTAGTTATGAATGTCAAAATCAATCACAAGATTTACACAATTAGTTAGAAAAAATAATTTGAATACAAATAAAAGGACATTCAGTACATTTGTTCTAGACCTTGCAATATGAATTAAATGTATTTTGAGTTCTCATTATTTCTTATGATTATATTAATAAATCATGCAGGTTTCATATGAACTACTGTTGAACTAGCTTTTCAAGCAACTTTAAATAAATCTTATTAACATTTTTAAAGATTTTATAGTTGCATTCCAAATATAAAATTCTTTATTTTTTTCCAATTGGTATTAATTCAAATATTATTTCAACCAAGTTCATCTTTTCATCTTTTTAATGAAGCTATGTCTTTGATGGATTTCTATGTAATTAACTGATTACTACAATATTCTAAAGTATTTAATGAAAATATTTAATACCTTTTTTATTTCACTTCTTGTCACCTAATGGGGTAATTACTGTGACTCATGCAGCTATGCTGATATGTACCCTTTTGACATCTGTTATCAAGCATCCTACTTGTTAGTCCCCATCTCCTTAAACCATGACAACAATGTTTGGCAGCAAAATTACTAATATTTAGGATATGATTCTGCTCCTTGTTTTAATTTTCAGGTTGATTTTTTACTCCCAAAGTTTTCCATTCCAATTCTCATAATTTTAATTCCCTCAACGAAAGATGGTCCTTTTCCAAATCACTAAATTACTGGAGGAAAAGCCACAATCTGAGCTGTGCCACTAATTATTGAGAGTTTGTCCATCTTTGATATAAGTTGTCTTAATTTGTTACATAGTGCCTCACACCATATAATAAAGATGCACATATGTAACCTGTGAAAGCAGACGAGATGAAACCTGCAAGTTTTGCATGTTTATTTCTGAATAAACTGGAAATAATAAATGTTAAACTGTTACCTTTCAAAATATATAACCCCAAATTTTTGGGATTTTAGATGGAAAAAAAGGCATGGATGTCTTCATTTAAAATATGTGGGTGCTATGGTATTAATAACAGTATCGTCATTGCATAAGTCACTGACCAGCATAATAAAAAGAAACAAACAAGAATAACAATACATTTTTCCATTTATTAGAATATTCTAATGTGCCATTATTAGTACTTAAAAAGAGCAAAAGCCTGAAATATAAATAACCTAAAAACAAGCAATAAAGTCATGTTGTTGTTCAATTCTAAGATAATATCCCTAACTAAATTTAAATGACAAAAATTAATGAAAAGCATGACTAAAATTCTGAATTTAAAAGCAATTAGATATGGTTAAGCAGGCAATCATAGAGGTTTTTGTGTGCCATCACTGGATGTCTCTACTTCTATCAACCAATGAAAACAGAGGAATCTCAAGTTCTCTACCAGAGGCCTGGGAGTTTTGAGGGTTCTGCACAGTATCTTAGCTGTCCCTAGCACTTCACTCTTTTGAACATAGAGCTCTGATGTTCATAGGATCTGTTGTAATCACTCTCCCATCTTAGGAGTCAGAGCCCTGAGTGTTCTTAGCATCACTTGGATTACTTTGGCCTTTACTTTCCACATTTTCTTTAGTTCTCCTCCTTCAGGCCTTTCTCATACTCTCTGCCTAATGTGTTACAGCTTATTTAGCAGGTATCTTCTCCATCTCCAAAGTTATCACAAAGTCTCACAGTGGAGGGCTATGTTTGAGGCACATAGTCATTCTGTACTCCTAAAGTGTACTGGAATTTATAAGGTATTTCTTTGAAATTTATATTACATGGTTTCATTTTTATATTGTCATCCTATAGTCCTAAAGTATACTGTGTACAAAACCTAGGATCACACTTTGACAGGGTAAAACTTCAAGATGTGCTGTATATATACTTTAACAAATTGTATTCCTTGTTCTTTAATTCAGCTTTTGCTAGCTTACAGTTTTTACTCCTTTTGAGTCAAAGTTTATTTCTGAAATTGAAAGTACTGTGGCCTGTAACTTTTTGATATAGTTGCTAAAACCTTTCATCTCTTAATGTCTTATTTTGACTTCTCACCTCATAGCACCTCCACAGTTTGTGGTAAGGCCACGTGATCAGATTGTTGCCCAGGGAAGAACAGTAACATTCCCCTGTGAAACTAAAGGAAATCCTCAGCCAGCAGTATTTTGGCAAAAAGAAGGCAGCCAGGTAAGTTCTTTTAATGAGAATTAATTCTTTAATTACTAGAACTATACAAGGCTTTGGAACCAGTGTGTCAGAAATGCATGACAGAAGTTTTCCTCAAAGCATATAAAAAAACCTGTTACTTGAAAGGCTTTTGCAGATCATGTTCTAATTTGCAGGCAGTCCCAATAAAGGGGCACAATTCCCCTATTTATTTATATCAGTATTGTGAATGGCAATAATAATGAAATAATAATAATAATTTTAATTTATTTTCAAGACTTTGAAACATATTGAATTGATCCTATAGGATCATTATATCAATTATTTATTTATTTTGCCATCCAATCAAGGGTTGGAATCTACTTGTTTGGACCAGTTCTATAGAACTGGTTGTTATGATTCTGCACGGCTCGGAGAACGGACAAATCGTGTCCCTAGCTGACCCCGTCCCTCTCCACCCCCCCCCCCCCCCCCCCCCCAGTCAGTCCTTATCACGCATGCATGACATCGCACACATGCCCAACATTACTGACTGAGTTCTTGCCTGCCCAGTCATTCCTTAAGATATTTCGTTTTTTCCCCTCCTGGCGATCAGCTGTTCTGATGATCAGCTGTGCCGGGATCCCCTTTGCTGTCTTATTGCTTCTCCCAGGAGGCTTCCCTGAGGCCCAGGAAGCAAAAAGGAGTGTAGTGGGGATGCAGTGGGAGTATGGTGGGGTGCTGTGCCCCCCTGTTCCATTTTTTTTGCCTTCCTGGGCCCCATGGAAGCCTTCTGGAAGCAAAAACACCCCCCAGGAGGCTTCCCTGAAGCCCAGAAGGCAAAAAAAAATGGGGGGAAGGGTTTGCTGCAAAAAAGAAGCCAAGCCCACATGGCCAAGCCCACACAGCCACGCCTACAGAACCAGTTTAAAAAATTAAAAAATTTGAATCATCCCACCCCTGCATCCAGTATTTTTTTTTGAATATAAATATATTATGCTAGCCCTCTCTCTCATTAAATTTAGCCTTGTTCTCCATATTCCAAACCACAACAGCCATTTTCTGTGGAATAGGCAATTATTATTTGAGAATAGCTAGTTTATATGAAAATATGCACCCATATGGTTGAGCCGCTGAAATATTATCTCAGTTATATATCAATTAAACTACAAAATATATAAGTTGATGCTTTTGTATGAATTCAATGAATAATTCATTTGTCATTTTTCAATGTAACCACTGTACATTGAAAAATCACAGATGAGGAGGCAACATTTTCTCCTACAGATGGTTGCATTTTTCTTTGGTTCAAAGCTTGACAGGCTTTCTGGTTGTTTACTTCAACGTGCAGTGTGAGCGTTGTTTGAAGTACTTGATTCACACAATTTGAAAGTTGCTTTCATTGTGAAGAAAAGTATTTTTTGCTTGCAATTGAGAAAATTGCTTGGAAGAGAAAATGTGTGCCATTTTTAAAATTAAAATAAGAATTGTTAACAAACATTTTAAATATGTTATTTAAAGTCTTAATAACATGGTAATGTTTATGTAAAGTGGGCTTATAGTGTCACACTTGAATCTAATAAAGTGGACATCCATCATGATGTAATAAAGAGAAGAGCTTCTAATTAAAGTAGGATATCATTTGCAGGATTACAGTCATTTAGTGTAATTGAAAAGTGTTAATACTCTATTTTATCTACTTTCATTGGTATTACTTCAAGGGTAAAACATTTTAAGGTGAGAATGTATCTTGCTTCTTTAATTGAATGCTGTTACCTACTTATTGTAACATGTTGAAGCTGTTTAATTACAAACCTGTAGAATTAATTACAATATTGAGACCAAGTTCCCAGAGGGCTTAAATGTTCTCCTTTTGGCAAATAAATGTAACATAAAAATTGATACCTCAGTTGTTTATAATCAAACCTTGAAACATAGTTCAATGTGATTCATTATTCCCACGTGTTGTTTTCTTAATTGAGCTTCAGTAAAGCAACAGAGGTTAACCAGGTTAATGTTTTCACTCTAATATAAAAATGTCTGGTCTTTGTAGGGAGACATCAACCTTTTAAATGTTTAAAAGTCCTGTCATTGCATTTTATCATGAATAGCAAAGGCATGTTACTTCCACTATGCCTACATTGAATATATACATTATAATATTTTTTTGATTCTGTGTACCCAGTTGTCAAACCACACCCTCTCTGGCCTTGGACAATCCTCTCTCCATGGAAACAGTCCATGGTGGGGGCCACTGTTTTAAGGCATTCTTATATTGGACTGGTTCTTTTTACTCTTTTATTAAGTGTTGTCAACTGAATAGGAGATGTCATAACTGTCCCTGGATTTTTCATGATGGCAGTTTGCATAGCTCTTTGTATTTAGTAGCTATTTCATTTTTAATAATATTTCATATAAAATGCAGCAACTTTATATTAAATAATATGTATACTTTATTCTCTGTTGGATTGCCTCAGTATATTTCCAATACTCTTGAATAAGTGAACCACATTCTTTGCAGTATTATATTTGGATAATTGATTCTGTTATTAATGACTGGATACCCACATTCATTAAATCATACCATAGATTGGGGGGGTGGGGTGGAAGATGCTATTATGATTTGTTATTAGAAAAATATTCATTATTTATGAAGTCATGTGAAAACACAGTCAGCATTTAAAAATTTAGCTTTTATATTCAGCATTACCATTTAATAGCATATAAAATTTACTATAGGGCAGTCTCCTGAAAAATCATTAACATCAGATTATTTAAATACACATAGGCAAATAATATAATTTTCTTTTTAGAATTGTAATATCTACTGACAAAACTACCTATGTAATTACTTGTTTTTCTAAAGCTCATTATTGAAATGATTTCTAAAATTAAGCCCTTTTGCGGAACTTTAAGGAAACTATCTTAAATGTCCCCCCAAAAAATAATAACCTAAATTATACTATCCTAATTAAAATGTCTAGATCAATATTTGATCAGTAAGGAAAATCATATTTTAAAATAAAACTGTACACCTATCATATTAAAAATTATATAAAGAAGTTCCAATTAAAAATGTCACCAATTTATCTCAGAGGAAGTGTAAATGATATGAACATAACAATGTGCCCAGTGTAAAGACTGCTGCTGTTACTTACGAAATAATTAGTGTTTCAGCTTTTGAATTAAATGATCTGCATTACCTCTACAGAATCTTCTGTTTCCGAATCAGCCTCTCCAGCCTAATGCCAGGTATTCTGTGTTACCAACTGGGGATCTTACTATCACAAATATTCAGCGGGCTGATGCGGGATATTACATCTGTCAAGCACTCACAGTTGCTGGAAGTATCTTAGCAAAAGCTCAGCTGGAAGTTACTGATGGTAAGAAATAACCTTCATGATATATTGTTATTGTTTTTATATATTGTTTATTTATATTTATGATCGTAAGTCATACATTATTTGTAGATTTAAACCAATTATTTGTATTGACCAAAAGACAGTTAGGGTGGGTTAAATAAGAAGTTACCAAGTCAAGGATAATTGAAACCAAATACCTTGTTCATTCATTCACCCACTCTGACAAAAGTTAAGATAATGGAGATTCTTTAAGACTTCTCATAAGCAGATAATTAATTATTTCCTATTGGTATTTGTTTTTAATAGCTATAGAAAGTATTTAATTACTGGAAGAACTAAACTAGAAGAAATAATCCCCTTGTTATATAATTCTAAATCTGCATGTGGCTTTAGTCCAAAGTAAAATCCTACATGCAATCAATTGTTTCAGGAAATATACGTATACGTACAGATATATATATCCTATGACAAAGGATAAAAATTATTTTGGGCACAATGAATTATACCAAATGAATTATTAGTCCAGAAGGTACTTTTCAGAAACAGTATAAAATCTCTTTCAGAACAATGACTATCAGGTAAGAGGCAGAATTTTATATACAATGTAATGTAATGAGTATAATAATATATGTTGCTTAGCATCTGCTTTATTTAGTGACCAATGTAATAACCATGCTAAAAAAAAAACCCACCCAGTTTAAAAGCTATGCCATGCAATTATGTCCTTTCCAGCATCTCTCTCTTGCTTATTTATCCCATACCCAAATGTTTTTAATGAGAAAGAGAGGCAAACCCAGTTCTGCTGAAGAAAGTAGCAAAAAACAAAGGAAAACAGGAGTAAAATAATAAGTTGTGGTCATGTAATTTTCACTTTTGTTTAACAACCAAGTGTCAAGTTCTGGTAGCAGTCACTGAATAAGGACTACCTGTATATAAAATTATAATATAATATAATATAATATAATATAATATAATATAATATAATATAATAT